TAAATAACCCGAATTACGAGAGGATGGGCATGAATATGAAATGCTTTACGAATTACAATTTTGGAAACGGTCTATTGTTTGGAAATTGAAGCGGGTGTAAGAACCATAATAAATGAATTGTGATTTGTGAGCCTATCCGACAATCGCTGGGAGATTGCTTACCGCGGTAACAATTCGTATTCGTTCACGCGAACCCTGCCCCGCGTACAAGGTGCAAATAACGTGCACACGCTCCGTTGGAGTCGTGAATCCAAGGTAAGCAGTGACACGTAAAAAAGCGATCCGTTTTACCGATCCTTCTGCGACCGGCAGTTTTTATACGAAGTCATTCGTTCGAGCGGACACCGCATTAAAATTTGCGATGTAACTTTTCGCTCTCGTGCAGCAAGTAAAACCGACCGTGACTCATACAACTCGATTCTCCGAAAGAAGGGAGAAAAAGATACTTTCTCCTTTTCCTATCGACGCCGATTTTCCGCTACCTCATGTTGCTTTTAGTTTTGTGAGTCAACAATTTTGTCGAACGGATCAGAGACACAAATCGTGCAAAAAGGAAACGTTTCAATATAATGGGTATATAGATATACGATGGATTAATTGAAGAATATCGAACTACGATCGCGCGACGCGCGCGGACGAATTTAAACGAGGCGACAAACGAGTTTCACTTTTCGACGATTTTCGTCGCATAACCACTCGGAGGAGCAATTTACTGGCATAACGCAAATTGTCGGTGAAACAATTTTATTGGACGCGGCGACAAAGGTGCGCCGCGGTGCGAAACAATACGAGGAATACCCTACGCCCAGTATCGGATTATTCGACGTTTTCATTAGCCATTGACATCGCCGCGTAAAATATCGATTCGCCCCGTGTTCTACGAATGGCATGGATTTCTCCGCGCTCCGCGCATTAATATTAATTTTCGAGCTTTTACATTCTCTCCCCCCTGCGCCATTCGGCACACTCGTAACGTAGATTAATTGAGAAAGCCTGTTACCGAGGAGCGAGACACAGTGGTTATTAATGGCATAACAAAATATCGAGCGGGCGCGCCGCCGCGCCAGGCTCTTCGAAACCCGACGAATATAAGACGCGAAAACTTCCGGGGCGCGCGAACGAAAGACGCGGCCGAGATTTATGGTCGCTCTCTCACTACAGAAACATTGTTTCTGATGGTGGCTCGAGGGGGGGGAGGGGAGGAGACGATTTTGCGTTATCCGGTTAATGGCGGGTCGAAGAAGGTGTGCGTCGCTTTCGCGATGTTTACCAAATTACAGAGGATTAATCAGCATCAGCGCGATTAATTGCGTCGGTATTCGGCCGACGCGGCGCACGAAGATATTTCATTTCGATGAAAAGGGGCGCGAGTTTTTGTCTGATACGAGAAAAAGAAAGAGAGAGAGAAAGAGAGAGCTCCGAGTTTCCCATTCGCCCGAAGAAACCTGTCATTAACGTAACGAACGATTCTTGTTGTTCACCGCGGCGAAAGCGTTTATTTCCACGTGGCACTAAATCTAAGCTTGCTTTAGGAGAGCGGGGCGCGGTAACAACGGCAGCTCGAGCAGCAGCTCGAGGAAACAATCCCACGTTTTCTTTTGCTCGTGGCCGAGTAAGCCGCGATGGCCCCGAGCCACTAATCACAAAGGAATTACTCGTTGGAAAAAGCTCCCTTTGGCCGCGAAGGATTGCATCGCGGTGGATATCCGATTCTTTCGATTCGCCGGTGAAATAAGTGCTCCTAACGTCATTTTAGGCGGAAAACGTACGACGCGGATCGCCGCGCGCCACACGAGCGACTAATGAGAATTCGACGTTCGTCGCGACTCCATTGATTTACGAGCGTCGTAAAGCGAAGACGTACCACTTACGTAACGAGACGACACACAAGTCTCGAAACGGTCGCGAGTAAGCAATGCTCCGGTGGAGCTTCTCGGAACAAGTTAGGGGAATTGTCAAAGGCGATGGCTCGCCGAGACAAACGGAGTCGGGGACGCGGCGGCGGGTCAGCGCGGTCGCCGCTTAAGTGCCTCGTATTTGGCCTCGTACGAGACCAAGCTCGTCGTTCCGGAGGGTCGCGCTCCTCTCGTAACTCCAGCCGAAAGCAATAGCCCCCACCTCCCCCCCATCAAATACATTACATGCCCAGTTTACAACGGACGCGAAACGCGAGTCGCGGCAGATTGCACGAAGCAACCCTCCTCCCCACCCCCCATATGCGCGCAGCATCTCGGAATGAAACGAGACTCGCCCTCCCCGCGTATCCTACATCCGTGAACCTGAACTGCGAACTATGCCCATTCTAGACGGACCATCGCGGATCGCGAGATATATCTGCTGATTGATTCGACCGGCCGATCCAGCGCTATCGGCTGACATTATCGTGCACACGGGCTACGCGGGCGGGTCGACGCCAACGTCTCGAGTGGCCTATGCCTGATTCATGGACACGCGATATTGTTCTCGATCCGTGTCGCCACAATGCTCGCCGATGTTTCCGATCAGCCGTTTAGTACCTCCTCGGCGCAATGGATGTCGACCCAAATCGGAGAGGCTAAATTACACCGTGTGTCCACATCTGCGGGTACGAGAGATTTGTGGTTTGAAAAAGCGAGGAGAGAGCCGAGTTGGAGACGACCCTGAAAATCTGGGTCATTTCGAGGGAGAGATAAATCGCAAACTCAATAAACAGCTGTGATACAGCTCGATACACAAAAAGTAATTTTTATCGACGAATCGGCGAATTACAAACTTTCATTAACAGAGAATCTTCATTTTTGTCCCGCGCGATGTGTTTCAAAGTTCTCCTCTCCGGAGCAAAGTTACCTAATCACCCACTCTATTCTCCGAGGAAAGATTCATCCGTTACAATCGAAATTTTGCTAGTATTTTAACTTTTAACTCCCAGTCTCTTCGTGAGCGAGGGGAGAGAATAAGTTTCATATATTTTATATAATAATGGTACGTTTCTGTTAAAGAATAATCCTTGCTTCTCTCTTTTATCCTGAAAATTTCCCTCCTTTCATTAATACAGAATCGCAGGGGGAGTCTGCGCGCAAGTTTAACGTCAGGTAAATAAAGCCCGAGTCCCGAAGAAAAGCGGTAATGTACAAGCAATACGGTAAATGGCGTAAGCAACCGAACCGAGGCAGCGTCGTCGGGGCGCGCCACGCTAACCGATAATTGCGTCTTTCGTTCTCCGGGCACCACGGACGATCTTCCCGCGCGACCTACCGCAACGATATATATTTTGGAACGACGGCGGTGCCACTTACACGAGAGCCCTCCATCCCGCTCGGATTCCCGCGCGTCGACGTTCGCCGCTCGTCGAACGAGACGAACCACGTCGGAGTCGTCGGACCTCCTCTCGCTCTCGAATCGTGGCCCGTAAAACCCGGTGGGAAAGAGCAACGCGAAACCGCACCACGCCAACGTCTTGCGGCGAGACGCAAGCTGGAAACATTAGAAAGCACGATGGAAATCAACGTCTATGACATGTGCATTATGCAAAATGTCCCCGCGCTTTCTTCCGTCCACAGGACGAAAGTCGGCGTCCTGAGTAATTTAAAAAGACGATTGTTTCCTAGGAAAAAATTAATTCGCGACGCCGGCTTCTCCTTCCTGCTGCTTTTTAATATCCACCACAAAATAACTTCTTCACTAGAGCGCTTAGATTAAAATTCTGTTCAATTAAAATTATTCGAACGAAAGCAGAAATACGATTCTGCTGTCGAATCTTTCTCAAACCTTTCGCAGCACAAAATGCTATAGTTCGTTATAGAAGATAGGAAAATGTTCCTCTTATACGAATCAAAATTGTAAAATTAATAAATCGATTGTTTCTTAGGAAAAAAAATTAATTCGCGACGCCACCGGCTTCTCTTTTCTGCTGCTTTTTGATAACTCGAAATATATATAAACTTCTTCACTAGAGCGCTCTTAGATTAAAGTTCTGTTCAATTAAAATTAGTTGAGGAATACGATTCTGCTATCATATTTTTCTCGAACTTTTCGCAGCACAAAATGTTTGCTATAGTTTGTATGGAAGATAGAAAATTTACGTTACTTGTACGAATTAAAATTGTAAAATTAGTAAATCGTATTTTTTTCCTCCTCGATAACTTTGGCCTGCTACTTCGCGTACCGGGCACATACTGCTACATCACTTATTTATAGTGCATGTAAATTTTACGTATTAATTACCAGCAGAGTCTGTCTGGTAATATCGCTCCGCTGCTGAAACATTTTATTCATTTTGCAAAGTGTACACATAACTACGGTAATGAAGTCGTATTCATATTCACTCTGCTGGATAGTATATTTACGGTCTCGGTAACAGGGAGCAGAAACAATGCAAAAACTACGCCGGTTCGACGGTTGCAAAAACTCGATTACTTCGCGTTCCACGCTCTGTGCAGCTGGAAAAAATGCCGCATTATATCCGTTTCATCTTTCTCGTTTTGTCCGAATAGCGAATCCCTCCCCCTTTTTTTCTAAATTGAAGGACATATATACCTATATATATATACTCAAAGCGTCATTCCTACTCTAAAGGCGCCTCTACATAAGTCGCGATACTCGCGATTCGCGAAACGTAGCTCGCGTATCACCGCACGCACGATACAGACAAAAAGGTTAGATTGACATGTAGACTGTGCGACTTGCAAATTATAGAGGCGCCTTAAAGTCAAAACGACAAACGCGTAGTAAATAAAACGCAGATAATTCGCATATTTACCTCTCTCATTCATGGCCCCGAAATTCGAGGGGATGAAAAGGGGGCACCCGGGCACCAGCGAGCACCGTCGCGCCGTACTCCGTACCCGAAGGGTTAAAATTGGCGGAAGAGACGAGGAGCGGAGCGGATCGCGTCGCGCCGCGCCGGTGATACTCGCGGCGCGAATGTGCGGGCGCGGATTTAGTTCGCGGTGTCGCCACGGGTCACGGCGGCGCTGCATCGTCGACAACGGACAAGATCCTCAGTCCGTCACGGGGTCGCGAGGGGTACGCACTGCTCACGTCGGTTCGCCCGGTACCTGGGGCTCAGTACGGTCGCGCGAAAAAGCACACGGCCGCGTGAGAGTATTCGCCGCGCTGACAGCCCGCGTCCCGATTGTTTTCCACGGTGACGCGCGTCGCGAAAGAGTGTGGTGTGCTCGGTGGCGATGACGGCACTTTGTGAAACGCGATAATCGGACGGCGAATCGCGGGGTGGCAGTGCGAGAGAGTGGCAGGAGGAGGAGGGAAGATCTCACCGGTGAGCACACTGCGGCACGATAACGGGAGCTTGCGACGTACGCGACTGTCACTAAACGTGAGTGCTCGCTTTCCGCATCCGCTTATATTGAATGAAACTAACCCTTTTTGCACTTCGAGAATGCGATACTCTTCGCACCATGAGCGTTTCTCATTCTCGTTTTAATCTCAACATACATTAAGTCTGTTTCCTGTTGCTGAACTGCTGAACTAGTGCACTAGTGAACTGGTGCAATAAGTTAGATTGAGACAAGTATATTTTGTTTCACTCCAACTTACTGCACCAGTGTGCACTAGTTCAGCAGCGCAGCAACAGAAAATAGACCTGTTGTTGTGTCGAGCGAAAGCTTGATTTTTTTTAAAATTAATTACAGTTGCTTGAGCATTTAATTAAATGATGGAGAGTTAGTAGCTTGCTGCAAAGAGGCACACCTCGTGGAGTTGCTGGATTGTTGAAAAACGCTCTCCGCACACTGTTAAATATTAAAAGATGAAATTTAAACCGATATCTTGAGTTAAATAACATTCTGTTAGTAACTACCATGCGTGTTGAAATTTGTTATTTTAACTCCATTTAGTTAAATTAACAACACATTAAGTAGGAGCAGCGACGACTTATAGGAATGGTTAAAAATTATTCAAATTGTGTATAATTTGTAATCAGTGCGCCCTTGCATATATAAAACTTTGCAAATTGCAACATGATATGTAACATGATGAATTGTAGTACTGAGTAACATGATTGACTTCGATCTAATTAACTCAGTAATATGAAAGAGATATGTCGGAATTTGCTAAAGAAACTAAAAAGAGAACATCCAGTCGTCCTTGAGTACGATTATATCCCCATATTATCCTTCCTCCGACTAATTATTATTAGCGACAAGATAAGAAGATTTATGATTCAATACAAATTATTTGATATGCCACGTATAAAAAGAGAGATATTCAAGTAGCTCCTTAAGAGAATGTCCCGCAACTTTTCGGAGCAACATCGCGCGATCGTCGCGTTCGGAGAGAAACACGTACGTCGTGATCGACAAAAATAAATGATAATTTTTAAAGGGAAATGCTCATGTGTCTCGACGATAAGAAGGATGCGGAATCCTTCGTCGTCAAGGAAGTCAGCTGTCACCGTGACAGATCGAAGCGTGCGTTCGCGTGATTCTGAACGATCACCGGCCACGGTAAACACCGGCGCAGTTTGCGTTCCATTATTACGCGCTCGGAGCACGGTCAAGCGCGCGGAACGTGTTGCCCTTTCGACGCGAGCGAGCGAGCGAGCGGCAGACTCTCGGCGATTGTCACTGATGCGATAATCGCGTCACGCGTCTCTTTCGTCGGGGTCGGGTTTTCTCTTTCTCTCTCTCCGAGGATCGCTTTGTGCCGACAATTTCTCGGCAATTGAGCGACTCCGCTGGCACGCAATTAATAACGCAGCCTCGCGAGATAGGGCCGTGATAAAGCGGAGCGGCGCGCTTACGTTATCGAGCCTCCGGCTCGGGGAGTTAAATGATCGCGATAGTGACGACGCGGAAAGCGCATCCTCGGCGCGCGCGCCAGCCAGCCAGCCACTCCGACTGATTCATCGCGACACACTCCGAGATTTCGCGTTCTCAGGCGAAAACGTAAAAAAAAATTTGCATAAAATTCCTCGCTACGCGAACGCGCGCCTGGTTGGAGTCACGGGCGTTAAGATCCTTTTTAGGGACGCTTTGCGAACGTTTACCGCGAAGTCTACGACGTAACCGCATGGGGGGGATTTACGCCACTGGTTGCTTCCAACGCGATAACTAATTCTCGTCACGTAAGCTCCTGTGCGTGGCACACGTCACATTCTAGGTAGAATGGGCTTCTGCTGCTAGTCGTCGTTGGACGTTGGACGACGACTTGTTCAGCTGATTGTACTTACTGACGGTCGATCGATTAGCGATATTTCTAGGTCCACGGTCCGATTTGTACGGATCGGAGAGCGCTTGATATACAACCGTCCAGTCGTGCATATTTCTCTGAATTTTAACTCCCGTGTAATTAATCGGTCATAACATTTTCGTGATAAATTCGCTGCGTAAATAATTAACTCAGCAATCGGCGCGTTTACCCGCACGTAGCGCGCGCTCCATCAAAATAGGTCCTCTTTGTGGACAAACGGCGAATTGTACCGCCGGACGTATATTTCGAAATTGTGTAAATAGCGAGCGTAGAGCACGCACGCACGTTCGCTCGCTCCCGCGCGAATACGGATTCATATCGGGGCGCAGCTACACCGCGCCGTTGAATAATTCTATCACTTTAATTACCGAAGTTTATAGCACAAATCAGCGCGATGGGGGGAATAATAGAGCCTGGGGAGGGGGGGGGGGGGGGGGGGGGGGGGGGGAGAGCGAAAACGCGCGCGGGTTTGCGCGTACTCGCTTCTCGCGCGCGGCGGGTGCCATGCTTTTCTTCGATGATGTACGGGGGTTAGGCGGATTGTTGTAAATATAGCACACGTCCGACAGTGACTAAAGGCGAGAACATCAATCAGCAGTTGCGAGAGCCATTGTGCCCCACGAGGCTGATAATAAATAGCACCTTCCATTCTCGCCGGTTGGTTATAATTCCTCTTCCCGATCACTCCTCGTGTCTTGTCCCTCTCGTCGGCTTTGCCTTTTTCTCATTTTCCTCGCGCAACGATCGTGCGCGCGCGCACACACACACACACACACGCGCCCGCCCGCTCTCGTATACCGTCTGTATGTAGTATCTGTGCCGCGCAGAGAACAGGTGTCTAACTACCGACTGCCGTTCCTGATAGCTGTAGAGCATACCCCAGGCCGAGTACCTTTATTGTAGCTTTATTGTACTTCTTGCTTCCTGCGGATCGCTCGAATCCGTACAATTACACGTGAACTGCGACCGTAGGATAGGTAGCCACAACTCGCCTGTCTATCGATTAACCATTAGCGAAATTAATGGTGCCTGTAGACAATAGAATAGCGCTATAAAGCTTAAGAAAGCGAATTAGATACGAGACACCGGTGCAGATTGCGCTAGTCGCGCGCGTGTTTATGTCGGTCTCTACGTGATCCGCTTTCAATAGAAGAGTATAATAGCAGAAAGATAATACTATTTGCTTTAATTTATTTTATATTCGGCGACGCGTATGCAGAAGTTCATTCAAACTGTACGTTTTGTTGACAAGAAATTATCTCGATAATTTTTCTTTGCCGCTTCCATCATCGGAGAATATATATCAGCTAAACATGACAACTTACCGGTAAATTACATGTTTCCAGAAATTACATCTCGACAGCGAGTCGACTCAGCCCAGCCACTCATTTTATAATGGGCAGAATGTTAAACAAGCGAGATGACAGTGCTCACTATGCTGCCGGGAAAGCTACACTTGACTATTTTATGCGCCCGCGTTTTGCCCGCCTCGAGAGCGCCTCTCGCATGCGCTTTCTACTTCAGTTTCAAACTTTAATTAAAAAGGTGGAGTCACAATAAGGTCCTTCTACCTCCTGGGCCGGCCCTTACCCGTTCCCATTTCGCGCGTACCGCCGCGCCGCACATCCCGCCCGTGTCAGGGCCCTCTCGTGTCCGAGAGAAGCTATTTTAATTTCATTCACGGGAAATAAACAGAACAATGAAATTAACGCTCCGACAGGGCGAGCGTGCATGCACGTTCGCGCGTGCCTCTAATGTACAGTCGAACTATATACATTTTCGGTACAAATGGCACTCCCTTGACAACAGTTCATTTTCGGCTGGATACGGTAAATACGGGTGTAACCACAATGAAAGTACAAAAAAGAGTAGCGGGGGCGATTAAAAATCAACGCGCCCCGGCGCCGCGTTTTTCATCTTGCGCGTCGCTTGATTAAAATTAATTGCTGCGTTTTTAATTACGAAATGAAATGTAAACATTAGGATGGACGTTTTTCAACGGGGAAACTTTATTTCGCTTCGCGAATATCTACTTCGTTCTATGCCATTGTATTGAAAAGAGATGGGATTCTTTTTTGTACGTAATTTTGTAAAATATTGGGGATGGTAATACAATATGTATATAATCGAAATTACTTTATCGTCATCGGCTTACAAAAGTTGAGTGAACGAAAATTCGGAAAATTCTGCGGTAAGTCTTTTCGGGTGAAGGGAAGCAGACCCACTCGAGTGGATGTTCAGCAAACCGCGGGATTGAGGTGGCTGTTACCAAGGCGCAGACCGATCTTTGATTAAGAATTTAAGCGGAATAAGTTGAGTCTCTGATAAAAGGTGACCGAATTTTCGGTAGGTCGATACTTTGCCTCTCGAGTTGTCCCGGATTAATGTAGCATTTTTAATAATACACATGATTATTATAATTCGATTTCACAAAAGCTATACAAAATGTGAAATTGAATTAAAAAATTTAGAGTTGGAAAATCAATAGTTTGACGTCGAAATTAGAGAGAGAAATTATCACATTATCTACATCTATTTATGTATTATCTGTTCTGTATCTTAATTATTCCTTTTATTTTTTATTGTATTTCTGTTATTAAATCGCTCAACTACACTGAAAAAAAATTTGCAAGAATTATTTGCAAGAAAATAGATTTCTTTGAATTTTAGTTTTCTTAATTCAAAGAAGGTATTAGGCAGATTCGAGAAAATATTTTAAACTCAGAAAAATGTTTTCTTAAATCTACCCAATACTTCTTTGAATTAAGGAAACTAAATTCAAAAAAATCTCTTTTTTTGCAAATAATTAATTTTTTTCAGTGTAGTAAGAACAGATATTAAAGATTTCCATAAGAATAACAATAATTGTTAATATCACTTTACTCTGCTAGCAGTCATTTGGTCAGTCAGAGAAGAGTCGAGCAATGATTCACGGGGTAAAAACTATTGAAGCTAGCAGTTATTAGCGATTGTATCTGCGCGGCGGCAATTATAAGGTCGGCCGGCAAACGTGACGACATTGGGTCATCGTCGGCACGTAATCGCAATCACTCCGCAATTCACTGCAGCATTTCACGCCGGCAGCATCATGAACCGCCGCATCACAGGCGCCGTGCCAAAACTTAA